TAGACTAATTTGAATACCCATAGTTATTAAATTTAGCAGGAAAATAACTTGACTTGAGATCTGATTCAGAGTTAAATGGATTCAGATGAGTTTAAAATGTTATTTTAAGTATTTTTAAAATAAAATATTAAAATAATATTATTTAAAAAAAAAAATATCTTTTTAAAATCAAGTTTTAAGTAGGCTAACAAGTAAAGATTATCAAGTGATCCATACAATTCACTTAAAGGTGTGATATGGAAACACGGCCTAAGGCCTAAGTAACGTATTTTAAAAATTGAATTTTTGTTGTTTCAAAACATTTTTTTATTTTTCAAATCATTTTAATTTATTAATGTTAAAAATAAATATTTCCAACAAAAATTAAATATAGTAGTTAAAACAAGGCTTTGTCAAAATCCATGTTCTTTACATAAAAATCAAATATTAGTGTCCTTTTCACTGTCTAATCAGGATTAACTTAATAAAATGGTAGAAAGTTGGATGTGGTGTCTACAGATGGTGGAATCAGTGAAGAAAAGTCCAAGAAAAGGGGTCAGTTCGGCCTTGTGAACCTGTGAGTCGATCATGTTTGACTCCTATAGCTTCAGGCGTCGGAAGGAGCTGAAAGGGGTCACCGCCACTATTAAAATGGCTTACTTCTCCCCTTAATAAACTCCAATTTTTGCAGCCAGCTTTGACTGGAGTTTGTGTCTCCTTAGAGCCAAAATTGCTCACACTCACCTTAATTTAAAGCGAGTTTAGGAAACTAGGACCATTTCTTTCATTGTGAATTGTAGCATGAAAAGCATGTTTTAAAACAAAAAAATCATTTGAAAATGGTTCAATTCTGCTAACTAGATTATAAGGATATCACCTTATTTTCCTTTTATGGATTTAAACCCAACAATTTCACTGACACAGAAGTACTAATTATGTTGTAAATTACATTATTTTGTCAAGAATATCTTTAATTTTTGCCATTTTCACCTCTTCACTAAAAGCTTATGCTTTGAGTCACTTTTTAGATATTAATCCTGAATATATATGACGAAAAAAGAGCTGTTGTATTTACAAATATAAGTGCTGAAAATGTTTGAATCACAACAAATTAAAAGAGTAAGGGTTGGTGTACCCAAAAACTTAATAGAGGGTTAAAATGAATAAAATTAGAAACAAAAGAGACCATGAAAGTGCTATTTATCCCCATGAAAATTGTTCACAAAATTTGTAATGACCTAATTTTAAGCGAGGCTGAGTATTTCAGCATGAGACATCACCATTAACCTTTGAAATAAGCATAGTTATTAAATTTAGCCAAGTCAATAAATAAGTTTTTTTAAAATTATTATTTTAAAAATTAATTCAATTAAATTTAAATAACTCTATCAAAATCATGTGAAGCTTAAATAATTAACTCTAATTTATTAATTTCAGTCAACATTAGTTTAAAAATATTATTTAAAAAGATTTAGTTTGAGTTATTAAAAAATTAAAAAAATATTATTTTAAATACATTACAAGACGCTAGCAAACTCTTGAACGGATCCTTAGTCCAAATCATACCTAGGGCCACAATAAACTATATATATCGAACCAGGGACAGCAAAGCTTCTATTTTTAATTTTTTTTTAAAAAAAAAACAATGGAAACACATGCTCTCGTGAAGATACGTTACAGGGTGTATTTATTTTTATAATTCAAGCTATTTCTTAAAATGTTTTCTAAACTTAAAAAATACATTATTTTAATTAAAAATATTTTTTATAACGCATCTGTTAGCATTTAATATATAAATACACACTAACTTTTTGGCATTTCAGTCATTGCCAGGCAATCAGCTCAGCCTCCCATCACTGAATGATTTGACGTCCGAAGAGATGGCCAGTAATTTCCCTTCTAATTCCGATAAAAAATAATGTTGAAGGAAGCTGTGGTATCCTCTCATTTTCTAACCCCAACCAGAGCCATGCTGACCTGGCCATCGTCAAGCTTGAAGACTCTCTCAAAAGCATTCCCATTGGTTTCTGTTGCTGTGGAGGAAGTTCCACTGCAATTTCAAATTTGTAAAAGGCAAGCAGAAAATTAAGGATCTTTATTTTGCTGTCGAAAGCATTGCATATCGGTTCAGCAGAACACCTAACATGTTGAAATAATGCGTAATATTTAGAAATAATTACTTTGGTAAGGTATATATTCATTAAGAATTTATTTAAAAAAAAACAAATTCCACCTCTAACATTTGTCGGTGGCTCGTGGTGGACATGTAGTTACTATTTCAGCGGTCTTTTAGTGCCTATTTTAATATATTTAAATGTCTCATAAAATTAATTTATAAATTTGAATTATTTTTGAATAAATTATTATAGTTTTGTAAACTTTTTGAAATTAAATGCTTATTATTTTATATAATATTTAAATTGTTTGGACACTATTAATTTGGTTAGACGTACATTGTTTTTTCTAAATGATATGGTTATTTATATAGATTTGATATTCGGTCCAGTAAGTCGATATGGGGCTAGTACCAGATTTTAAAAAATAAAAAAAGCCAAAATTTTGTAAAAGATCAGTTGCAACCTGTTGATTTTTTTTTTAACTGAAACAACATTATTTTGAATTTAAAAAAATATCATAATTGACCCGAGCGACACAGTGACCTAGTCAAAACCTGAAACCAGGTCCTTAGATCGAATTAGGTTTAAAAACTCTGGTTATTTGTGTTGAATTGTAAAATTATTTTTTGGATTGAAATTGAGTTTTTTGAACATTACATTGATGCATAAGTTATGTTTAAGTTTATTTTGATTTATTTGGACTAACATGAAATTTAGTGGAAGTGGGTGAAATTAATAAAATATGTGGGGATGTTTTGACATTATTTGACTTTAAGCTTATGAATGATAATTTGTTTTGAATTGATATATTAATTAAAATAACCTTGATAAAAACATTTTATTTGTGCCTTGCAAAATACATCTTTCATCAATTTTTAATAATTTTTTAATTTTTAAAAGATTATTTTGTAATTAATTTTAAATTCCTCACCTTTTCTTCTACCTTCATTTATTTAATATTTGGAATTGTGACTTACACGCATAGATTTTTTTTATTATTAAATGAATCATTTTTTATCCATAAAAAAATAACAAAAAATCTTTCTTTCAAAAATACAACTTTATTTTAAACAAGATATGGTAAAAAATTATAATATTATTTGAGCATATTTTTTAAAAGAAAATTTAAAATATTTTTGCATGTTTTAAGAAAAAATATTGTAAGTATTTTACAATAAATTTGTAAAATTTCTAAGAATTTTGACCAATATTTGAAAAACATCAATACAAAAATTATAAACTTATAAATAAGATATATCCTTCATATTAAATAAAAATACAATTTATTTTTATTTTTATATTAACATTAGAATAATAGGTTTTTAACTTGATAATATAATGACCTTACTGAAGAAGGTTTTTTTTTTTAATTTTAAACAAATTAAAAATTAGAAAATATAATGTTTTTTTAATTTTTATCAAACAAATAAATAATATAGATTATTTTAAATAAATATATATTAGGGATAATACAAATATATTAGGATATTAATACTTTTTTTTAGACAGTAAATTCTATTATTTGAATTTTAAAATTAATTAGGTTTTTAGTAATTAAAATATGATGTTCATATTATTATTTTTTTATCAATAAAAAATGAGAATTTCATGTCCCTTGTATCTGTATCATTCTCGATTATCTGGATCCAAGATAATAATTGCCACGACAAGACACATTTATTGCAGCTATGTTTTGAAAATAAAGAAAAACACCCTCTGCACTCTTGGATTATTGGATTCAGACCGAATAGACTTCCAATAAAAGATCTCATAGATTTTCTGATGCTTGTGCTCAAATAAAATGGTTTTGTATATTAAAAAAATTGCAAACCTCAAATATACCTTCAAATTATTGTGGTGATCTCAATTTTTAACCCAAATTATTATTATTTTTTTATTAGTTCTACCATCATACTATTTTGATTTTTCAATAAAAACTTTTGTTGGAATCACTTAATGAAAAAAATTAAATTTATGATAAAATAATTTTTTTTTTAAAAAGTTATAATAATTTGATTAAGAAAAAAAAAACACAGCAAGAAAAGCTTATGCAAACCCCATAAGCTTTGAAAACTTGGGTAAATACATTATGTTTTACATTCTTAATTTGCATCAACAAGGAGAACACGTTTTGTTTTGTGAAAAAATGATGGAATGAAAATAGAATTTGATATATATTTTACCCAATCGGACACCAAATAATGTTTTATGGATATAATTTAGAGTAATTATAATAATAACATCATACACACAAAACATTTTACCTGACTTGTATAAATTTTGTAACATATTTTTATATAGTCAAATTCAAATAATATCTAATAAAAAGTTTAACTTGTGACTAGCTTGAATTTAACTGACTAGAAATTAATCGCATGCTCATCAAAAGATTAATATAAGTTGTTTTTGGTATTTTTTATTTTTTTAAAATATCATCATTTAATATTTAATTTATTAGAAATTAATTTTTATTTTTTATTTTTTTTTTAATTTTATTTTGTAATCTTTAATTACCTAATAATAAAGCTTTAATTTATATTTTATAAAATTATTTTAATATTGTGATTAGACCGTAAATTTAGCATATTAAGGGATCGGATTGCAAATTCAGTAAACTTGCCGACTGATGCTGTACATTTATAGGATTATTCCACATGCATCTTGATCCCATAATAACTTTGTATGTGATGTAAAATCTTTAGCAAACATATGTTCATCGATTTTTTGGCTGGATCAGTCAATTCGGTTTAGTTTAAGAACACTATCCTGACTCTCGTACCTCCGTAGACGTGGGATCAATGTATGGTTATGGTCCTTTTTAAGTACCGAAAACTTATAACTCTGCTTGACAACGAATTTAAATGCATATATAGATTGCAATCATGAGAGATGGAAAAAAGCTTCTAGTGCAATACCATAACAACTTCATAAATTTCTATCAAGAAATTATTACAATACAAGAAAATTTATTACCACAAGTCCGTAATATATGTTAAAAGTGCTAATGTCCAATACACTTGTGCACTTTTTGAGCAAATATATGCATAGAGGATATAAACTTAAATGGAAAATGCCGGAAGATAACCATATGCATCGGCAACGCCACTCCTTCCATGAATATTAAGATAATTTTTTGACGCCTTGAACAGATGAGGTTCTCATTTACCAATCTACAGAATGAGACGACAGTGTTAGGAATCATTAATAATCTTAATTGGTTCGTTCAGGAGTAGGATTTGTATTCTAATTATGGAGCTTTACCTTGTGACCGTACCGAAACAATTTCATGCTGTCCACGCATCATGCTTCGAGAAAGAGAGTCCCTAATCCGCTGCAACTCCGACACAACATTGCTCATATTCATCCTCTCTGGTGGCAGCTCGGCAGAACAAGAAATTCCCACCTTCAGAATTGAAACCAGACATTCCAAGATTTTGCCGCTCTCAATATGGTTCATCCTATTTCTATGAGAGGAGGAGGATTGAGCACGACTTCTTTCCTCGTATTCTCTGAAAAGCATCGGATCCACAACTTCTGTAACACGTCCAGGCAGTGCTTTTTCAACGTAATTGTGAAGGTTCAGTCCGTCTTGAAACATGTCGTCTGTAGGTCTTTTGCCTGTAAACATCTCCAACAACAAGATGCCAAAGCTGTACACATCCCCATAAGTAGACACATCGCTTCCAATACCATACTCTGCAATTCAAGAAATTCACTTTATAAAAATCTAATGGCTTCATTTCTTAATGTATGACACGTAAGGAAATAAAATGCGCAAATACTTTCAAAAGGGTTGATGTTTCCATTGAAAACAAAGAAAATAAAGCTAAATTGTGATCATGTTGATGTTTGACCAAATGGAAACTTAGCTTTGTTTGTTTGAAAGCTTTCAGAAAATTTAACTGGCTTAGAACCGGATGACAAACTAAAAAATTGAAACAGTCAAAAGCAATGAAATTCTTGTGATCTTACCTGGTGCTGCATAGCCAATGGTGCCTTTTAAACCAACCGAGCTGGTCTGATCAGAAGATAATTGACCGGAAACTTCTGGTTGAAGCCTTGCTAATCCGAAGTCTCCAACACTAGCAATCATGTCACCATCTAACAGAACATTGCTCGGCTTCAAATCACAATGAACAATAGGCGTGTGGCAGTGATGGTGCAAATAGTCGAACGCCTTAGCCACATCAATTGAAATGTCCAACCTCTGAGTGAGATTCAAACTTCTCGGCTCATGTGCGTTGTTTGGCTGATGATGAGTCGAATGCAACCATTCTTCTAGACTTGCATTGTCCATAAGCTCATAAACTACAGCCTTAAAATCATTACCTTGAAAATCAGTGCTAGAGCACGCAGTTATTACTCTAACAAGATTTCGATGCCTAATGTTGATCAAGGCTGTGCATTCTGCCAAAAAACTCTTGGAAGCTCCTCTTCGTAGAAGGTTAAGTACCTTCACCGCAACAGCCATTCCATCCGGAGGAAGGATTCCTTTATAGACAGAGCCAAAACTACCAACACCAATTAAATTGGCCGAAGAGAATTCATTCGTTGCTCGGAGAAGATCTTGGTACGCCACTCTCCTAAATGATTTCCCCCAAGAAGATGTAGAAGCAGGATTACCTTTTGTTTTTCTCAAGCAATAGCAAAGCACGGATGAAGTCAATAAAATTGCTCCGAGAAATCCACCAGACATTGCAATGATCAGTATCTTCTTGATTGAAGATTTCATCTTTACAGACTCATTGGTTGTGCATCTAGGCAGATTCAATAGAGGTATACCTCCACAAAGCTTCTTGTTTCCTGTAATGGAAACCACACTAGTATTGCCAAAGGCACCTTGCATGGGCACCTCACCTTCAAGGTCATTAAATGACAGGTTCAGACTCTTTAACAACTTAAAGTCTCCCAGGAACTCTGGAATTTGGCCACTCAAGTTGTTATGAGAGAGATCAAGAGCGTAAAGTGCTCTCAAAGAACTCAAAGACTTGGGAATGAACCCTTCGAAAACATTCTCCCCCAAATCCAAAAACTCCAAACTGGTGCAGCTGCCAAGACCAAGGGGAATCTCTCCTGATAACCTGTTTTTAGAAACATCTAGCTTACCAAGATTCTCTAGCTTACCTATTTCAAAGGGAAGAGAACCTGTCAGCTGATTTGCTGACAGATTTAAATACAATGACAAGGATGTAATACTTGTGATTTCTTTGGGTATAGGACCGCTCAAATTATTGTGAGAGAGAGTCAGAGCCAACAAGTTCTGGCAATTTCCAAAACTCGACGGGATGCTTCCTTGTAAATTGTTGAGTGATAAATCAACATCAACGCAAGCAGTCATATTTCCTATTGACGATGGGATACTTCCTGAGATTTTATTTGTATTAAGATACAAATTACCGACATTTTGTAGCTCACAGATAGAACTTGGTATAATGCCTGTCAATTGATTTGCTTCGAAGCTCAACGCAACCAGGCTTCTGAGATTTCCAATCCCATTTGGAATGGTTCCACGTATTTGATTTCCTCCGAATATCATGGATTTCAGCTTTGTGGAGAAGTTGCCAAGTATTTCAGGCAGCGCTCCTCCAAAATTGTTATTATGTATAAGCAAAATTTCCAAAATGGTGTTGTTTGCAAGGGGGTAGAGAAAATTTAGGTTATCGTCCTCACCATTTCCAAGAACATTGTAGTAAATTGACAGGAACCTCAAATTAGGCAAGCTTCCTACTAAGGTAGGAACTAACCCAGTGAAGTAAGTGGTATCAGAGCACTGGTTGTGCAGATTAAATTTCTTGTGCAGTTAAAATGGAAAAGGAAGATTCGGGCATGATAAAGCTTACTTCCTCAAATTATTTTCTATGGAAAACAATGATGGAGGATCACTTATATTGCAATGATTTGGCTTTGCCGATTGAATGTAAAGGAATAAAGCCTGATGATATGGATGATGCAAAATGGAATGGACTAAATAGAAAGGCTACTGCTAATGTTAGAAAATGGGTATCTTCTAAGTCCATTAATCATATTTCTCAAGAACATGACTGTTATACAGTTTGGAAGATGTTGGAAGAAACATTTGCTAAGGAGAGTGCACAAAACAAGGTTTTTGTAATTAGAGACCTTGTGAATTTGAAGTATAGAGATGGTGAAGATGCTTCAGTGCATATAAATGTATTCCAAGGGTTCTTGAATCAGTTGTCATTGATGAATCTGGAGTTAGCTGATGAAATGCAAGCACTAATCCTACTGAGTTCATTGCCGGATAGTTGGGAGACTTTGGTGGTGTCACTTAGCAATTCTACTCCGAATGGGAAGATCACTTTGAAAACAGTGAAGGATTGTATCCTCAATGAAGAGAAGAGGAGGAAAGGCACAAGCACTTCTGAGTCTCATGCACTTGTTACAGAAAGTCGAGGGAGAAGTCCAAGCAGGTTCTCTCACAGCAAGCAAGATAGAGAATCCAGCAATAGAAAAGGCAAATGGAAGCCAAGAGGAAGATCTCAGTCAAGGAAGGGTTTTAAGTGCTATTATTGTGACAAGCCTGGGCATATGCAAAAGGATTGCAGAAAGTATAAAAGAGATAAAAAGGGTAAAGATGAAGACAAGAATGAAGAGAATGGTACAGCTGCAGTTGTATATGATGGTGATGTTGCCATTGTTTGTGATGATGGTTGTGTTAATCTTGCATGTCAGGATACCACCTGGGTTGCAGATTCAGCAGCTTCTTACCATGTTACACCCCGACGTGATTTTTACACATCCTACACTGCTGGTGACTTTGGTCAAGTTAGGATGGGAAATCAAGGGATGGCTAGTGTTGTGGGCATTGGAGACATTTGGTTGGAAACCAATACTGGGTGCAAGTTGCTACTCAAAGATGTTAGGCATGTGCCTGATATGCGCCTACACTTGATCTCTACAGGTACTCTTGATGAAGAAGGCTATCACAATTACTTTGGAGATGGTAAATGGAAGCTCTCCAGAAATTCCCTGATTGTTGCTAAAGGGAAGAAAATGGGTCTCTACATGTCACAAGCCAAGGTGATCAAAGGGGAGGTGAATGCAATTGAAGATTGCTCTACTGATCTGTGGCATAAGCGGCTTGGACATTTAAGTGAGAAAGGCCTTGGCATCCTTGCCAAGAAGAACTACCTTCCATTAAAAGGTATGAACTTGAACACATGTACTCATTGTTTAGTTGGCAAACAACACAGAGTTGCATTTCAAAGATCACCTTCACATAGAAGATCACATGTTCTTGATTTAGTTCATACTGATGTTTGCTCTATGATTGACAAGTCTCTTGGAGGTGCATTGTACTTTGTTAGTTTTATTGATGATCACTCCAGGAAAATTTGGGCCACTTGTTTGAAATCCAAAGATCAGGTGCTTGATGTCTTTAAGGATTTCCATGCCAGAGTTGAAAGAGAAACTGGTAGAAAGCTCAAATGTGTTCGAGCTGACAATGGTGGTGAATACAGGGGTCCTTTTGAGAAGTACTGCAGGGAACATGGTATCAAGTTGGAGAAGACAGTTCCTAAGACTCCACAGCAGAATGGAGTGGCTGAGAGAATGAACAGAACCATTGTTGAAAGAATTAGATGTATGCTCTCTCATGCAAAGCTGCCTAAGTCTTTTTGGGGTGAGGCAATGAAGACTGCAGTTGCAATGATCAACCTTTCTCCATCAGTTCCTCTTGAATTTGATGTTCCAGATAGAGTTTGGAAAGGAAAAGATGTCTCTTATGCACACTTAAGAGTGTTTGGATGCAGGGCATTTGTACATGTTCCTAGAGATGAAAGGTCTAAGCTTGACAGCAAGACAAAGCAGTGCATTTTCTTGGGCTCTGAAGATGATGAGTTTGGCTATCGGTTATGGGATCCAAAGGAGAAGAAAATTGTGAGAAGTAGAGATGTTATCTTCTTTGAAGATCAAACCATTGAAGACTTTGAACAAAAGGAGAAAACAGAGTTCACTGTTTTTATTCCAACTAATTCAAATCCAAGACCTACTCCACAGTTACCTTTAATGCCTGCTAATCATGGGGGAGACTTGCAAAATGATGATGGTGGTGGTTCTCTTATTGAGCCATTAGTTGGTGATCCTGAAGCAACTAATGATGATGTTGATGTTATTCCTGAACAGGTTATGCAGGAAGCTTCAGATGAGCCACAATTGAGAAGGTCAGCTAGACCTCGCCAACCTTCCACCAGATATTCTCCTCATGAGTATGTGTTGGTCACTGATGGGGGAGAGCCAGAATGCTTTGATGAAGCTATGTCACATGAGAAGAAAAGTGAGTGGTTGAAAGCAATGCAAGAAG